CCTGGGCTGTGGAGGCTGCTCTGCTCCTTGGTGCCTCTTCTCCAGGCCACCCCTGGGCCACGAACGGGGGCAAATCTAGGGCCAGGGACCATGGGCAGCGTGGGCACAGGGGCAGCCACATCCGGCCTTGCCCCGCCACATCTGGATCATGGTGTGCTTGGGGGGTCCCGGTGCTGCTGCAGTCCCACCATAGCCTGACCAGTGCCCGCAGTGAAGCCAGGCAGCGCTCTGAAGCTGCAGGGCTGGTCCCTGGCGGGTGTCCCCCCTTTGGATCCAGGGCAGTGGGCAAGAGCCCCAGTGTGGGGCTGGCTCCTCCGGTGCCTGGGGCAGCCCCCATGATCTCACCTGCCCTGGGCCCCTGCAGCGCGGGTGTCGGGGCTCTGGGATGGGGGCCTGGTCCCTGTGCCCGGTGGGGCAGGGAGGGGCTGGGCAGGGGCCCTCTGAGAGCCTGAGGGTGCAGGGGTTGGGGCCCCTCTGTGCTGCAGAGCTGGCTGGCACAGGGTGTCTGGTCCTTGAATGGGCAGGGGGCCCTGGAGCCCCCTCCCAGGCTCGGAGCTGCCAGGAGCAGCCCCCGGGTGAGTGCCTGAGAGGAGCAGGCCCTGGGCAGGGCCGCAGTCTGTGTGGGCTGAGGCAGGCAGGCCTGGTCCCCCTGTGGACTTGGGGGTCTGGAGAGTCTGAGTGGCCCAGTGACCCCAGGGTGCTGTGGTCCTGCAGGGGAGGGTGCTTAGCTGGGGGTTGGTGCCCTCAGCAGGGGAGCTCTGGCCCCCGCATCAGGGCTGCTCCTGGGCTTGCAGCCTGGTCCCCGGGCTGGGCGCTGGGACCCCGGGCTGCAGGGATCCCCCGGCCTGGGGAGCTGTGCCGCCCCGGCACTACCTGCAAGCAGCCTGGGGGGAGGGCGGCTCTGCCGGGGAACAGGTCTCCCCTGCCTTGGGGCACTTGAACCGTGGGGCCTGGCATGGGAAGGGCTGCAGGACTCCTTCCCCCGCCCTTCCCGCTGCTTCTGTCTGGCAGGGGCGGGGGCA